GCGCCCTTCCTTCCCCTGGGGTCAACGAGCAAAGACGGGCTCACAGGCAGGCGCGGTTGAGCAAGGCAGGCTCAGGGCAAGGCAGCGCCAGCAACGCCATGCGATCCCGGAGGCGAAGCTGGCTGTGGGAGGAGCGTGGCACAGGCCGGGACAGCTGCAGCCAGCCCTAAAGCTGGCGCTTCCTCCGGCCCCGGCAGCTCGAAGCGAAAGCAAAACCCGCCCGGGAGAGTGAGACAAATTAGGAAGTGACAGAAATAATCTGTGCCCGTGGATAACCCTGGGCACTAGGGTGGCAGACAGGGTGATCTCTGGTGTTTGCTGAGCCGAGCAGCCCGTGGTTGCAGCGGGAGCCCTGGCGTTGCCTGCCCAGAAGCTGCCTGAAGGCACTGGCCGAGCTCGGTGACTCCCGCACCTTACCGCGCCAAAACATCCCCGCAACATTCACCCACCGCAGAGCACCACAAGCTCCGGTATCGACCGGGGCACGGCTTCAGCGCAGCCCAGCAAGGGGCAGGAGCACAGGCTGCTGGCCAGAGTCCCGGTGGGAGCGGGCAGGACGAGCACTGCCCCACCGTGCTGGGGGTGTGCAGTGCCAAAGGGATGGGGAGCAGCTGGGAGCCACCCCGCTGCCCCGCAGGCCCATTTAGTATCAGCCTGAGCCCCCTCCCAGCCGCCACTGCCCATCACAGCCATCAGGAGAAGCTGCAGGTTTTGCTCCTTTTATTATACAAAAATAACTTAATAACACAATCAGTGCAAATTAGAATGAGAAAAAACTGAAAATGCCAAATAAATTAAAATTGCCTTTGCATAAGCTTAAATAAAAGAGCTAAGCACTGTATTAAACAGTCTATCAAAATCACAGGCAATAAGAAAACAGGGATGTGTCTCAGAGGTGCCCATGAGAGGAGGTCCTTGCAGAGGTGCTGCCGGGACGGTGCAGGGCATTGTCTGCCATCCACTTTGGGTGATTCACGATGTCCTTGACCCACTGATCATGGGGGTTACCACAGACCATGTTGTCCAGAAATGAGATAAATCTGCAAGAGGAAATCCAATTAGAGGAGGAAAGGAGAGGGGAGAGGAGGGGACCACCTACTCCTTGCCACTGGTGAACCCACCAAACCAGACACCTCTATAGCTGCAGAACAGTCCCAGGGAAATACCGGGTTGGGGGTTGGCTTAACGTCATTACAGGTGTCCTGCTCTCTGCTGCTTAAGCCAATTTGTCCCCAGCCTGCCTACTCCAGCCAGGACACTGTCCTGCCTGGGTCCTGCTATCTGGGGATGAGAGAGGTAACCAGCAGAAGCTCTTTTGGCTCAAATCTAATAGGGAGGTCCAGAAACTGGCTGTCTGGGATGTGGGATTGGCCTCTGAGAAGTTTCCAGGCTGTTCTCCTAACACAGAAGAGTCCAGCCTGGTGTTTTCCTTTGCCAGGATGGAGATTCCTGGTGCTGCCACCCTTCAGTGGAGCAGAGCCCCCCAGGATATGGGCAGGAGATCTACTCACATCACGGCTGGCTGGGAGCAGTGGCTGCCTGTGCGCTCAAACTTCTTTATGCGGCTCAAGGGAAACGCACGTTGGCTGTATTTGATGCAGCAGGGACTAGAAAAGTTGACACTCTCTGGAAGAGAAGTTAAGTTTTCTGATTAAACCAGACCAGGGAAAGTGCCAATGGGGAGAAGCAGGGTCAGAAGACCAGAAGACCCCCACTGGAGGAAATGATGCTCCCACTGTGGGCTTCCACCACAGCCATCCTTCCCTCAGGAACCCAAGGAGTAGCAAGATGTGCCTCTCCTTTCCCACAGCAGATGCTCAGAAGGAAGAGCTGTCAAGCATTACCAGACCTTATACAGCAGAAAGAAAGAGGAGAGAGCTCCTCAGACAGGAGAGCTTGGACTCACGTGGAGAAGAGGAGGCCTGGTAGCAGAGGACAGCCACAAGAAGTACAGCAATGGCAGCTGTGGAGGTCTTCATGGTCCTGTTGTGTGAAGATAAATTGTAGGAGTTGGGCTAGACTGCTGCAGGGTGCCCCTCGCTGTCCCTGAAGCAGGCTCCCTGGGTTCAGCCCCTTTATAAAGGGAGACAGTGAGCAAGGCCGGAAACATGCCGGAAACATTGCTACCCTACATGGCACAATGGAAAACGTGCCGTGTCAAGGGTGCCGCACAGTCCTATGGAGGGAAGTGCCCAGAGCCCCAGTGTGGCAGCGCCCTGACGTGGCATTTTATAGAATGGTGATACCATGAAAGGATGGAGAACAGGATATGACCTCTCTTTTCCTTTCCCCTGACCAAAGGATTCTGTAGAGAACCTAGAAGCAGCAATTCAGAAGGTTAGTAGATGGACCTCTTGCCTAGAAGTCTCATGATGGCAATGAATGGAGAATGATGGTGTTTCCTAGAATATCTGCATCACAAACTGGGGACAATTCCTCTCTCCCACAGTGACTGGAGTAGGGAGTGTTCATGAGTTGGGCAGCCCTCCCTCGGCCAGGCACACAGCATTGGTGCTCTGCTCCACTTGTGGCACTGCCCATGGAGATGGGGGCCTTCTCCATGGGACACAGAAGGCTGTCAGTATGTCAGCACGCAGAGCAGGGGGTAGAGAGCAGTGCCATCCCAGCTCTGTGCTCCTCTGCTGTCCTTTGACGAACACTTGCAGCGAGTCACTAGGAAACTGGCTTTGTTGCTGCGTTGCAGTTTCACAAATACCAGTGACAGCCAAAATAGCACTATGTTACCCGTGGACATGAGAATCGACCATTAATGTTTACAAAGAGCTTTAGAGGCTCATGACCATGTTGGCACAGCAGAGCTGGCTTAGATGATTGTTTGGTTCCAGCAGTGTAGAATTGACACCCTCCTGACATTGCTTTGTCATTGTCCCAGCAGCCACAAATACATACAGAAGAGATTTTCTGATTTAGCTCATATTGTCTGGGACAGAAATGGTGTCACTGTGTTGGCAGAAAAACTCCTGTTGGAAATGCAACATCCCTCCAAAAGGGCTCTGCAGACTTCCAGGCAAAGGCTTGCAGACAAAGTGTGAGGAGAGCAGGGGAAAAGCAAGGTATTCATGGTGGTAACGAATGTGTCCAGGCGCTGGACAGCCACAGCCACAGTGGGAAAGCCACATGGGCAGGCTGCCTTTCATTGTGGTCGAGTGAAGAAAGGGACCTAGGAGGACAATTACAAAATAGAAACCACTGCCAAAGGGGTGGCCTTGTAGGAACCCAGAGAAACGAGAAGGGAAATGAGGAGGTTCCCTGGACCACCATCATCACACCTCAGCAGACTGAACTGTTTGAAGAACTGAGCCAGACTTGTGAGAAAGTGTGGGCTAGGTGGCATTGCAGGATTTGTTTTAGACAGAGCCTTTTGTTTCACTAAAACACTGTGTTACTAAGCCTGAGCAAAACTGAGCCAGGGAGAGACCACGCATGGGTGCCTTGCTGCCGTGGAGGCAGGGAGCCTGCACAAGCCTGGAGAGTGGGCAGCCAGGAAGGGTCTGGGACCCCAGGGCACGTGCTGCCAGGGGCGCTTTTGGGAAGACGCTTCCTTAGCAGGGACAGGCATCTCCCAGCACACAGCAAGCAGGCAGCACCCACTCAGCCCACAACCCAGGGTTCATCGGCAGCCAGCGTAGCTCAGTCTCCAGCTTTGCCTTCGCAGCAGTGAAGGCCTTGGCACATCTTTTCGCTTCCCTACATCTCTCTTTCCC